TCTTCCTTCCTTCCTTCTTTCCTTGCTTCTTCCTTCCTTCCTTCTTTGCTTCTTCCTTCCTTTCTTACTTCATTGCTTGCTTCTTCCTTCCTTCACTCCTTCCTTCCTACCTTCGCTCCTTCCTTCCTCCCTTGCTTCCTTCCTTCCTAGCTTCCTTCCTACTTTCCTATTTAGTTTCCTTCATACCTCTCTTGCTTCCTACTTTTGTATTTAGATTCCTTCCTTCCTTCCTTCCTTCCTTCCTTCCTTCTTTCCTTGTTTCTTCCTTCCTTCCTTCTTTTCTTACTTCCTTGCTTGCTCCTTCCTTCCTTCACTCCTTCCTTCCTACCTTAGCTCCTTCCTTCCTTGCTTGCTCCTTCCTTCTGTCCTTCCTTTCTTCCTTGCTTCCTTCCTTGCTTCCTACTTTCCTATTTAGTTTCCTTCCTTCCTTCCTTCCTTCCTTCCTTCCTTCCTTCCTTCCTTCCTTCCTTCATTCCTTCCTTCCTTCCTTCCTTCCTTCTGTACTTACTTATTTACTTACTTATAAAATTGCTTTTTCTTTTTTTGGTTTCAATCAGAATCATTGATCAGGTGTGCTTTTATTCTTCAGGATACTGAGGTTCTATTTCCGGCCTTGGAGCTGCATTTCAACTACATCGTTAAGGAAAAACGTTGTAGACGCTTCGTCCTTCTTGATGATGACCCTCAGCAGGCAGCTCAGGTTAACACATGACCTTAAAATCCTTCTGCCTGGAACACTCCTTCCTGAAAAGAGTTTCCTGAGCCTCCATCAGAATCACCTCCACCATCTTATCTCCCTCTTTTTCATGCAGACATTCCCTTAATGACCAAAACTTACATACAACCTTAATATAAAATAAAACCTAAAACTATGGGTATTAAACCAAAGGACCAGGTCATAGTGTGCAGGCAGACCATCGTACAGTCATCAATGATGAGGCCTGTTGTTTCCTTTGCAGGTTTTAAATGACATCTTATCTGTCGTGGTGGAGGAGAACCAGCGGCGCCATTCTGAACTCATCCCCAACTGCGTTCGTCTCCAGTGCCTTCGCTGCAGGTCAGAGTTCACCTCAAATATGGCGACGGATGAGGAAGAGGACACAGGAGGAGGAAGAGGCAGGAGTAGAGGGGGTGCTGCTGAAGGACAGTACTGGGAGGAGCAAACGGAGGCAGATTCCTCCAATCATGGCGGCACAGGTGAGATGCTCATGTCAATCATTTACGCCTTTATACTTAACGATTAGAGAAATCTCCCTGATTCGCTTCACCAAACATGTTCCTTTATTTCCGACTTTCGATTTATCATGTTCCCACTGAGAAGATCCAAACAGTTATTCATTGGTCTTGTAAAAAGTGATTGCTAAAGATGTTACAATACGAGAAATTATCTTTTCTTTTCCAATAAACTTGTAATTGCTGGAGGTTATGTTGGAATCTGAGACTTTTTCTATCCGGCTTAATGTTTTGTTCAAAACCCTGACTGCAGGCTTTGTGGTTACAGCTAAGAGATAACACTGTAGACAAGGACACACACCCGGCAAGCAGCAGAACATCTGTCAGCCGTCTATTACTGATCTGCCTGAGGTTAAATAGTTACCCAAAACAAAAATAATGTTTGACGCCTCTGAGCGAAGCATCCAAGACCTTATCGCTTTCTCATTTTCTCAGGCTGCCTCTTGCAGCCGCGTTCCCACCTCTGTAATCAGTCAGAGACTGATAAATCCCTTGAGCTCCAGCAGCTGTGGTTTGACCGAACCCTGCTGTGAGGCACGCCTGGGCATGCACAGATCGTGTGTGCAGGCTGTGTTCGACAAGTTAGGAGGATTTCTCTACACCTTGGTCCTTTGTTGGTGCGTTTAACCTTGGCACCCTGAAAAACCGCTGACAAATAGCTCTTTTATTCCCACAAATCTGACCTGAACACGCCTGCTGCTAGGAAACGTATTTTCACCTTAAGGTGAAGATGCTTTCCAGTTCTATGAAACAAAACATAACATAATACACATATTTGAAGGTGGCCATAGCTTTACTCATTGACATTATTTTACAAAAAAAAACAAACAAAGCAGCTAATCGCAGGATTTAGAGCACTTTCTACAAGAAAGAAACAAAGGAGAAAATGTAATGTTAGCAATGTACGTGTCTCAACAAACAATAGGCTGCAAGTACTTTCTATGACGAAAAAAACATCCAGAAAGGAAAAATGAACGGAAGATGATTAGGGCCAGTGGAGAAAAAAAATACATATATTTCAGTTTAGTATGGGAAAAAAGTCAGACTTTAATCTCAGAATTCTGACTTTTGTCTCAGAATCTGACTTTAATCTCTGAATTCTGACTGAATTCTGACGAAAAAGAAAGTCAGAATTCTTAAATTAAAGTCAGAATTCTCAGAAAAAAGTAGGCCGCAAGTACTTTCTATAAACACATGAAGTCCAAAAGGAAAAATGTACGGAAGAGCATTAGGGCCAGTGGAAAAAATTAAGTTAACTGATTTTTAAATTTTATTTCAGTTTAGTATGGAAAAAAAGTCTGAATTCTGACTTTAAATGTCAGAATTCTGACTTTAATCTCAGAAGTCTGACTGAATTCTGACAGTAAAAAAGTCTGAATTCTTAAATTAAAGTCAGAATTCTGAGGAAAAAAGTCAGAATTCTGACTTTGAAGTCTGACTGAATTCTGACAATAAAAAAAGTCAGAATTCTTAAATTAAAGTCAGAACTCTGAGGAAAAAAGTAGGCCGCAAGTACTTTCTATAAAGGAAAAAAAAAAATCATGAAGTCCAAAAGAAAAAATGTACGGAAGAGGATTAGGGCCAGTGGAAAAAAGAAAAAAAGAAAAAGTTAACTGATTTTTAAATTTAAATTATGGGAAAAAAGTCAGAATTCTGACTTTTTTTCCATACTAAACTGAAATAAAATTCAAAAATCAGTTAACTTTTTTTTTTTCAGTGGCCCTAATCCTCTTCCGTAAAAATGTAACAATGAGTCTGTCAGTAAGAGACATAACTAAACACAAAATGTAGTGAGTACTTTCTATGTTAAATTAAAAAACAAACAACAAATACATTTAAAAAAAAAGACATGATGCCCCTGTAATTTACTTAATCTATGATAAAGACACATCTAAACACAAAACGTAGTTAGCCTTAAGTGCCATCCATCTATTTTCTTCCGCATTATCCGGTGCCGGGTCACGGAGGCAGGAGTCTACGCAGAGATGCCCAGACTTCCCGATCAACACACACCTCCTCCAGCTGCTCTGGGGGGACC